CTATCAAAGTCCAGTGATTCCAACTTCTTTGCTGTTACTATTTAAGATATTTTACGACACCTATAATTTCCTTGTGGTCCTTATTGTACATAGCTCTTAAATCCAGAAAATTTTCTATGAATAATGATAGATTTCTAATAAAAAAAACTGATTATATGGAACAAATACCTTTTGACGTCAAGAGCCCAGTAGATTGACGCTCGCGATTTTCCCCACATTTTCGTGAGTGAAGAGCAGCTACTTGTTTCTTGTTCCTAAAATACCCTGTGCTTGATAAAATGAAACCAAACCCCAACTATATAAGACTCTAGCAAGATAAAAGATTTTATTTTTCTCGAAATTGTTTATTGAAATATGAGCCAATGTGGCGAAAAAATTTTAAGTTGGTATTCTCCGCGACTGGATGAGCCTACTCACCACGATGAGTTCGAGAAAACATAGGAACTTGCACTTTAATATTGTAGCTGAATGCTGTCCTGTCTTCAAAAAATGTGCTAATTTTGATTCAAATATAAATAAACTGAAAGAGTGTGGTGGAATTGAGAATCTCAGGAAGTCCTCATTTGTGAACTTATTTCTTCATCATAGATTTTTGAGAGGAATATCAGCGACCCTTTCTATATCGCAAACGAGAGAGTAAATCCCTGTATATCATTAACAGAAGGGCTGGATATCTTAAATTCCACTTATTTTAAAATATTGTAGTGTAACTGAGTGTCGGGAAAATGCCGAGGTTTTTGCCAGCCGTCTGGCCGTAGTAAGCTGAGTAATGAACCTCTTTTTTTATTAGTCATCTTGCTACGACGCCCAATGAGATGGTTTTCTTAATGCAACGGAAACTCTGTTTCATACCTTTTTCGTCTTTTTTCTGTGTTACCTTATTTGCTTCAAAATCACCTCGAACCAGAGCACTTGGATTGTCCCGACGTCGATGATTTTATCCTTCTTTGATGGGAAATAGTAGTTTTTGATTTTCAGTGCACATTGATTCACCTCGACAAAGCAGTCTTCATAGAGTATGGTCATAAAAGAATCTGTAACAAATATACAAAATCGCTTTAGTGGATTACAAATACTCGGAAAGCTGTTGTCACGTAATGAACAAGGAGAAAACTCAATAAATTAAGCAGAGATAAACGTAAATGGTGCCTTTATACTCAACTGTTTTTCAGGACCTCGCTTAAAATTCTGATACACCCTGACAGCATATTCTGAGGCTTCATGGGTCTGTTATGGCTTTTTTTAGTGCTTGACGTACGTTTCGGCCTTTTGGCTTCATCAATATCATGGTGTCTTTCGGTTCAGCAAATCCATTGTAGGGGTAGTATAGTCCTACATATAAAGGAATCGACGCTGAATCTGTTACACTGCACGCCACTGATGACAAATCATTACATGTCAAGTAATAATATCACTCAAGAAAATTTTGAGCGTGATCTTGGAAACAGTAGAACATAAAGGTACTAGGTTGCGGAAAAAGTCACTTAACACCTGCAAAAAGTTAAAATTTAATACCTCTCGTTTCGAGTGTTTTCTTTAGACCACTCTCAAATTTCAACATATCTCGTAATTATTATTTGAACCAACATGTCATATGGCCTGTTGAATAGGCTGACTTATAGAGCCCGATACACGTGTTTCGCCCTTGACGGTTTCACTGGACATGTTGGCTCAGATAGTAATTACGAAATATATTGAAAATTGACCGTGGTCTGTCGAATCGAGAGCTATGATATACTGACGATAGCAGCCAAGAGTAACTGAGTGTAAAACACTGTATGTTCAGTGAATATTTCATTTGACAGACAGTGTAAAATGTTCGTCGTCGCCTAGTCTTAGTATAGGGGACTGAGCGCCCCAAGAGGATTATTTATAATTTAGTCTGTGACCCACAACGTGCTGCATAGACATCAATATGGTCCGATTTGATGTCGACTTCGTAAAAAGCCATTATTGGTTGGCATCGTAATGCCAGCCTTCTTCTACTAATATCGAGAATTTTGTGGCAAAAGTAGATTCGCTTTTTTCGCTTTTCACTTATTCGTGAACTATAATCCGTTCACGATTGCGATTTGCGCGTGTGGTGCAGAGTTTAAAGATACCCTGCGACATAAACGTGGTCGATGGTTCGACACCGCGCCCATGGCTCACCAAAGCTTCCATCCCTTCGCGGGCGGCAGATTTCTCCTCTATTAGCCTGGGAGGATAGTTGCATTGATTTGATAGACTGATCGGCCACCGCGAGTCATTGGAAAAGCCAGGTGTATTCAACCATCGCTAACGATACTTGATGAGGTCGAATGCATGGCGCATCCCTCAGGGATTGAACAATACCAAAATCTTTATTTTTAATCCCTTCCTTACTCCTCAAATGGAGCAAATTGAGCTAGGCCATTTCCATCTCTCTCTCTCTCTCTCTCTCTCTTTCTCATCTTATGGCACACCAAGAGAGCCCCTCTATTTCTGTAACATCACCGCACTGGTACTGACCGTTCTTTCATATGACCAATTTAACAGCTCCTTACTCTGTAAACTAATCTAGATTTCACTCAGAATGACATTTTTTGAGAGCCTAGATGGTCATCTCCGGTTTATTGTTTTTTTATATAATCCATATTTTAAAGGATACGAATCAAGCACTCGATGGTTTTCAGTTAAAATGTTTTGGATGTTCGAGGTGTCAACACCATTCTGTGACAATATACTAAGCTGCAACTTTTTTGGGTTGAAATAAATTTTTTGAAAAAAATTCATTGTTTTACTAAATATTTTATTCTGAAAAATTATTATGGTGGGAACGATTATGTAGGGGATCAGACTCATCAACGGCGCTATTGTCACTGACACGTGTTTCGAGCTAAAAGATTAACATTCTTATAAATAGGACTTCATACGACAGCTTCATAGAGATTATCCTCAAAATCGGGAAAGAAAAGAAAACGATGATTAATAATGGCACCTGGATAGAGGAAAATAATTACGGAATAATCACCAGCTTATGACGTCTTTTATCACACTCCATACGATTAGTTTTCTCTGCCAATTGCTTCAACTTACTGAAAAACGTTTCAAAGCTGAATGTGAAGAAATGAAGCGAAACCTTTTGGTGGATTACAAGAATTTCGAGAATTTAATGAACAAGGCAGTGGGCGCATGACTCTACACACATTTTGATTGAACTAGGAGTTTTTCTGCAGTACAGTTTTCGCCAAAAACAATTTACGCTAGCAACTATTACTGAAGAACGGTGAGTTTTATTGATTTATCAATAGCCAGAGTCGCTGTTAGATGCTACAATGTAAGTTTTCCGATGAACGGCTCAAGTGATGTGTCTTAGTGACCGTAAAAGTCGGTAAACAGAAGCCGTGGATTGTATTCTGTTCAAGTGAACAAAGTGAGCAATAACAAAAGCATCATAAATGTACTCACGTGTACAGACTTTTTCATTTATACCAAGAGAAAAGTTTGCCAAGCAAAATTACTATAAAACTCGAAAAAGCGAGAGAAACAGCTGCAAAAAGACTCTAATGGCGTTAGATTCACTCACCCAGCAATTAACAGAAAAAGTTGTGATAGGTAATATTTTAGCCTCAAATGCTCAGAATGCTGCGTTCAATGGTAATAATAAACAATGACAAAATCATGAAGTTGCTGAGATTCCATCACCTTTATCACCTGTAAGATTTCATACGGAAAAGTGATTTGGCACAAGTCAGATGGGCCTTTAGAGAAAACTTCTCCACACCATTTTTCATGCCAAATACATGTATTTTCGCCATTTTAATCTTATTTTCGGGGATGAAGGGAGGTAACAAAATGGTCGGTAGTGCACGTTATCAAGAGTGTTCTGGAAAAGGTGAGCTGCTTCGGCGCCCTCCTTTCAACACTCTCCTGCAATCATCTGGGACGTCTTAGCCAAGCTAATTTCAAGACTGGAAGATTTGCCTCGGCCAGTATGTTTGAAAATCTTCGAACGATGAATGCGAGGAAATGAATCGGATGCTAGAAGTACTGGTATCCGCAGAGTAAGATGTCATAATGGGTCGTATAAAATATCTAAATGGTTCCTTCTTCATGTTACTGAAGAGGATATGGGTAGCCTGATGGTAGAGATATAACTCAAACGAACTAGTTTGATTCCGTCTAATACCAAAAAGTTCCTCACAATCCGTTGTTGGGAAAATCAGTGTCAAAATCGTCTGGGAAGCGTTCTCCGATGCAAAAGAGGAAAAAGCTGACTCGAGCAGTATCCAACGGTATTTGTAAAGAAGAGCAAATATCGTTTCAAAGGTACCTAAGCCCGTATACAATTTCAAAGACCTCAGTAGGTGATAGGTGCAAGAAAGTGAATAAGGCACAAACTGCTCGGATTCACGCAATGCTGATTTGAATCTTGCAAAAAAATAAAATAAATTACTGGATTGCTAGTTTTTTCCAAAATTCTCTCGCTTTTCTGCAAGTCACGATGCATTCCAGGACTTCCTTTTGTTTTATTCCAATAAAAGTACTGTAAAAATAATCTAATGGTGCATGATACTAATTCACGATGATGGTTCACGTAATAAGGAAGGCTATATTGATTTGCATTGGTCCAGTAATAAACATGATGATAAGCAATGGACGTCACAACAACTCAACATCAAAGTAATAAATGTGGGCGGAACTTAGTCTGGGAAACACTATAACGTCAACGACGTCGTCATCGAAGAAAATTGTGTAGAGAGTACTATAGATAAACCGGAACATTAGAAATCTACAATTAAATAATTCCCAGCCGGAGGCAGAACAAGGCCGATTTTGAAAAGATTAAATGAGCTAAATAATTACTAAATAAGAGAAGAACGTCATATTTAATTGTTATCTACTGCAGCAACATCGATGAAAAAGAAGTCGTTTGTAATCTTGATACGATTGCAGTTAAATTTTGCGTACCACTATCTTGAGCATCAATGCGAAGAGTAGAAAACCGTTGTAGAGTAGAAAGAGTGGTGTCGAAGCAGGCGTCGGTGTGCAATGGTTCGAGCAGGCGCTCCCGCATAGGGTGAAATGTGGGTTCGAGTCCCAGTCGACGCAAAAGTTTTGTACATCACTCTACATCACTGGCTGTATAACTACGGATTCATATACACCGCAAATGAAGTTGAATAACATATTTTGAGCCCTTCATGAGGTCTGTCATGGCATTTATACTGTGCAAGACACGTGTTTCGGCATTACAGCTTTGTCAGTTGCATGGTCGTATGTTGGCTGACTACGTTGTTTACAGTGAGGTCTCAAAAACAAAAGAAAATAGTAGCATGAGAATATAGGGTTTATTTACGAGCAACGAGCAATCGACTGTGGCCTCATGAATGGCTTCAACTTTATTATCAGATTGTAGTGTGTTAGAAAGATATCAAAAACAGTCGAAAAGAAAGTTAATACAATATACCTGAACAAATTTAGTATTATCATAGCAACTTTAGAGAACAATGAAAATTTTCTCAACTTTCTTCAAAGTATCGAAGCAACGTTCAGAGATTCTAGCAGACATCAGTAAAGATTTCGTTCTTACCTTCCACGCGCCGGTATTACACAGTGGGCTCTGTTTGTTGTCTTGCACGCTCTTCAATACTAGGAATGGATACCAGAAATTTTGTTCATGAGGCCCGAGTAGCACAGTTGTGGAGATAGCAACCAATATGAGCGCTGTCTTGGATCGCCCTCGTTCTGAGCCATTCATACCCTCTAAGCTGCTAGAGTTTTGAAATTGGTGCCGGACTTGCTTAAAAAGAGCAGTGAAAAAACTTTATGAAGAAGACGAAACTTCAAGAAACAATCGAACCGTGCATGCATGACAGATACAAAAAACGAATAAAATACTAAAATGTTGAGATCTGCTCAATATGTGATGCTGCATAATAAGAATAAGAAAATACTCGTACTATTCTTGTTCCTCATGAGGAAACACTGCATGATCAGCCAGTGAGAGTCGAGAATGATTAATTATTCCTGATGAGCACCCAATAATCTCAAAAAAAACCCTAACAAGCTCCCGAAATGCTAGAAAACTCCTCGTTAAACTGATAAAACATCTATGAAATCAAAAATGTTGCAACGGTAATGTTTCTAGAAGCCTAAATATATGATGTGTAATATTTCCCTCCAGGCCGCTCATGATATAGTGCAAAGTATCGTACCACTGATGCGTCGTTTAGTGCCATTGCCGCCTCTTGTTGTCACTTTTGTAATTGTACATTTTATATCAAAGACCACATTTTTATTTCTGTCGGTAAGAGGATGTTTTAGGAGCGAATATCGATAAGCAGGAAATCTTTTGTTTAATCTCAAGCACTATAATCAACAGATCTTCAATCTTTTCCGGACCAACAAGTTGATACCATATGGATGGCATGGAGATAACAATACTAACTTGATACATGGAAAGTCCACCATGACCTAGTTCAGGTCGAATAAATATCTCATCACTTTCGAAAATTCTTGATCAAGCCTAAAGACTTTTTCATAGACTTCTATTAACCTTTCGATAGCCCAAGTGCTGGCGATTTCAAATTTCATTTGATTTTTAAAAGGTATTATTCCAATGCTATAAGCTGTTAAATACAAAATTCTACGGAATTTCGCCATAAGGAGCGCTCCTTCATTTCCAAGAGCGACTGTTTATCAAAGTCTGCATTCTCTAATATATTCTTGTTCTCCTTTTTGAGTCAAACACAAGGATTTTGCATTCGAATTTACTCAAAAGCCGACGTTTTGGCGGCTTCGCCTTTGTGCCTGGAAAAGTCAGAACTGATCTTCCAAAGACCCGATCCTCGGACGGGAGGCAAGCCCGGATCTTACCCGTTGCGCGAGCGGGTGCTAATCCATTGACCACTACTGCTCTGCTGTGCTACCACCCTTTCTGCGAACAAGGTAATCTGTCAGCAATCAGTTGCCAACGGTTGGCCTGGTGTGCATATGTGGACATATATGATCACATTTGAATCAGTGGTTAGAGGCACTCCGTGACGCACACGTGGTCGATGGTTCGATCCGGTGCCAGAAACTCAATAAATTTCGGTTGGCCACCACGAGATTAGATGTGCAATAAGTTTACTCTAATAATATACTCAGAAGTCGAATGAATGGCTCTTCGCTCAAGGATTAGTATTTGCATCCGTTTGTTATAAATTATTACTACGTATTTGAATACGTTGAATGCTTCATGATAAAGAGCCGCTCAATGGGCGTAAAGTTATTTGATGAGATTCACCTCGGAGCAACCAAACTTCTCATTCCTCTAAGGCTCAACAAATTACTACGGTTGGAAAGAAGGTTATGGAGCACCTTAATAAGCATGAGATAGCTCTCATGCATATCATGGGAATATTACAGCTTCTCATGTGGGTTCTTACCACTGAAGGCCTAGATGATATTCGCCTTTAATTTCACTTTGTTACAAGCCTCCGCCATGTCCAGCGATACAATCAAAGTTCGTGGTCTATTGCGTCATTATTGGAGAAATGGTCATTCACCGCGAGCCGTAGTCGATGAAATCAACGAAGTTGAAGAGGGAATCACAGCTAACAATTTTGCCAGTGGACGCTGTTTTAAACGCTTTATTGTCAGAGATCTTGACCTCGAAGACAAGCCTCGCTCACGACACTTTTTGAAAAGTCGCCGATTCGAATCGTTCGATGAAGTTGAGGAAACATGTCAAGAGTTCTTTGATTCGCGAAGGAATGATTCTTCGAACAGATTTGAAATTAGGCGAACCGATGGCAGAGAGTTGTAGAAAACGATGGTCTTTATTTTGAAGAGTAGTCAATATTGTTCTTGTTTGGAATTCACGCATAAATTTTCAATTTTTTACAAGTGTCCCAGAACTTCCTTTTCGACCTTGCGATTGTCTGTGGGTGAAGGTAGAGGGCCGGTCACGCAGCAATTGACCTGAAAATGTAATGGGATTTCACATAGCCACTATTCAACGAAAATTTACAAAGCCCAAAAATCACGCAACATCACCTGAACCCACGAATGAATTTGGAGACTTTTGTGGACGATGTATTTGAGGAAAGATATGGAGTGAGAGTGCTCAGATTCTACATCGTATCATAGAGGCTCATGTGATAACAAGAGGAACAATATAGTAATACTTAACAAGTTTTGTTTTTTTCTCAATACAACTTTGAGATTTTCTGGCTAGGGAAGTGCCAGATTATCATTACAGTCAGCTACTGGCCCTGGTGACGCGGAGAGAGCTCATCCTAGACAAGCGTGGATACTATTCCCGCAACCTTCGCCGCTTTCCCAATTGGATTTTTCTCCAAGAAGCAGTTTCTTCAATGGTGATGAATACTGCACTTAGTTGGCCTACCGCTGAAAATCGACGTGACAGGCCGAATCGAAAAAATCAATGAAATGAAAAGAAATGCTGGGAAATGTGAAGTAAACCTAAAGTGAAATGGAGTGCAGGGACTTTGTATTAGAAGTACTCCACACTTAACAATGAAAAAAAAATCTTCCGTATTCGAAAATGCCAATAAGGTACAGTTTTTTCTTTTGGAGTGCTATATGCAGTATATCTTTATATCAACATTTTTGTTAACAAATGTGTGCAAAATACCATAATGAATTTTTAATGTTTCCAAGAAAGCTAATTTTTTTAACCAATAATTACTGATGTGCGTCATCGCTGTCATTTGATGAAGACATACGCGGATATGGAAAAGCTCGATCAGTATAGTTGCTCTCTTCAATCAACGATCAAAATGATTAACGATAACAAAGTATTTGCTCAATTATAAATTCAACGCTTTGTTAGACGAAATTCAAACGAATTTCTGAAGAGAGAATAAAGATTCAGTGTTTTACAAAAATTTAGTCATTCTAAGCTCTACAAATAAAGATAAAAATTCTACAAACTTTAAGAAATCTCGCCACCTTAACTGGAAATTAATTCATTCTATCGTAAAAAAAAGTTTTTTACATGGTCGCTGCAAAGTGTCGTTTCCTAAGGGAACGTTTTTAGCAACGGCTAACTTGTTCAACGATTTGCTTTGGAACAGAGCTCTGAAAAGATGTCAGGAAAAATGGGCGACAACACCTCTACGCTCTGAAATTAATGCTCAAGAGACTCTACTTGTACAGTCACTCGTTCGTTGTAAGCCCACAGTGGCTAATAACACTGTAGTAACAACATCTTGCGACCAAAAAAGGTGGGAGGCTTACTGAAACAGCAGAATGTATTCCATGAGCAAATCAGATTCTTCGTGACAATGAATCTTCTTAATTGTTTACGTTCCGAAGTGTATTCAGAGAACAGCATGAATTTCTCATTGTAAGAGGCTTAGTGGTGAGCTTTTCTAAGCAGATCTTAGTATCATTTTTCCATTGAATAGATTTGTCCTTTGATTTTTCTTCTATATATTTGTTCAGTTTACAGCACAATTCACTTGACTGACTTTATCTGCCAGTGTAATAGATTATGACTTCACTGTCACATCCCGGTATTCAGTAAAATGCTGCCTTAACGAACAAAGTTCAAAGTGAACAAATTTCGTACACTATCAACTGGCTTAAGTAGCAAGGACAAAGCAGCATGTCCAATTTAACAAGAAGAGCGGGAAAGAGCAACAAACATGTATAACTTGCCGACTTACAGGATTTAAAATTGTTTATTCGAGAGTGTCTGAACTGCTCAATCTATAAATGGTGCGGGAAGTATTTGATGCAGCTGAGAGGATTGGCAATGGGGCAGCCACCGGTATCCAACTTAGCTATTTGCCTTTATGTCGAAAGTAGAAGCCTCAGTGATAGATCGTCGGCCAGCACATTACTGTAGGTATACAGAGGACTGTTTAAGTATCTTCTCCACTCAAGAGGAATTGGACAGAAGCATTAGATTGCTGAGTTGACCATCAGAGTACATAAAGTTCACCCGTGAGACGCCAAAAGATAGTTAACTCACTTTCCTGAATGTGCAAATTAATCTATTCGATAACGGCTACGGCACCAAAGGCCAAGTAACAAAAATATCTCGATAGAACTCCCTTCAAACCGCTATTTATATCAAACGAAATCAGCAACGCGGT